TGGCTGATTCCAGGTCTGGGGCAGTCAGGAAATTTGTAAGTTGAGCTTGGAATATCTGGACATAGCAGAAAGCAAGAAAGTCAGAGGCTTCTAGGGTCATTTCACAGGACTCAGAAACCAATTGAATAGACTCTCCTGGCTAGAGGTGAAACAATTTTAGCATTAGTAAGGATAATAGTAGCAATTAAGGGCTTCCCGGGTGGCGCAGTGGTTAAGAATCTGCCTGCCAATGCAGGGAACACGGGTTCGAGCCTTGGTCCTGGAAGATCCCACATGCTGCGTAGCAACGAAGCCCCGGGCGCCACAACTACTGAGCCCGTGAGCCACAACTACTGAAGCCCTTGCTCTTAGAGCCCAAGCTCTGCAACAAGAGAAGCACCACAATGAGAAGCCCGTGCACCACAACGAAGATCCAACTCAGCCAAAAAAATAGAAAATAATAATAAATTTTATTTAAAAAATAACAAAGCACATCAAATATATTTAAATCTATGAATTCATCGTAAGTATAAAAAAATTCAGTAGTACTTTCAAAGAATATTAGTACACCAACTCATTGTTATTTAAACTAGTAAATAAAGGGAAAGGATCAAGTATTTATTCTGCCTTTTCTTTACTAATGGTGCCTCGAGTTTCCCAAATAGTTGATGAGGGGATCTTTCTCTATAGGAGTATTCCAGCTAATACATAAAAATAAATGATTGATTAGAACAGCACAATTTTTGCAACCCCTAATAAATTAGGCAAAGATCTTCAGTCTCAGCTAGCGTCACAAGAAAAGAAAAAAATCATACATTATTAACCTTCTGGTGGAATTTCTTTTGAGCTTAAATCTGATTAAACTTCTAGATCTAGCCATCACTTAACAGGAAATAGAGAGCACAGAGAAATGCTATCAATGTAATCAGGAAAATACAGATTATGGGAAATTCCACTAGACAAACAAGCAAGTTTCTTATCAAAAATAGAGAAGAAAGAGAAATGGAATGCATGTATGTATATGTGTGTGCGTGGTGGGGGGAACTTATAGAGAAGAGGATACTGAAGGAGAAGCATCAGTCAGCCACAATGAATGAGCCTTATTGGTATCCCAATTCAAACAAACAAACAAAAAACAAACACTTAAGACAGTTGGGGAAAAGTGGACATTGACTGGATATTTGATGATACTAAGGAATTATTGTTAATTTTGTCTAGTGTGATAACGATATCACCATTATACTAAAAAAAAACAAAGCAATTTAGAGATACATCCTGCAGTATTTACAACTGGAATAATACAATGTCTTGGATTTGCTTCAGAATCATTTAGGAGTGTGGCAAGCGGGTCAGAGTAAGACCAAAAGCATCAACTATGTGTTGATAATTGTTGAACTTAGAAATGGGTACACAGGAGAAATGGGTACTTTATGCTAATCTTTACTTTTGAATATGTTTGAAATTGTCTATAGTAAAAAGTTGTTCAAACGTGAATCACCTCTTTACCTAACAAATTTCCTTAAAGAGGACATTTTAGAAAGGAAAAATTAGTGTCACATGCCAATAATGGAAGATAACTATAAAAATAAATACAATGAAGGCAAAGCAGCATTACTAAATACTAGTTGTCCATGCCTCTGAATCTGAAGGTACTTTCTCATTGTTGAAAAGTAAGTCCTAAGAGATGTGTTCAAGACATTTTCAGAAAATCAAAATATGGAGATTTACTTCTGGAGGTAACCTAATAGCTAGGAAGGCAAGTCATAAAAGGAATACTTTCTCATCATACGTGACCATGTACTCTGAGGTTATTTAATACTTCATCTGCCTGGTTACCACCTAAAACCTTCTGTGGCGGGGGAGGGGGGGGTGTGCCACCAGGGTTCCAAGGAACCTTACTTTGATAAATAATGATATAGTGTCATTGGCTTTTAAAATTGGGCAGAATAATGGCAGTGCTCTCATTTCATTGCATGGAGCATATTCCTCCATCACTAACTGTTCCATTTCTCCTCCATTCTTCCATCACTAACTATGTTCTCTGGTCTTCAGCCTTTTTTTTTGTGTGTACCCAACTCTTTCAATATGTGGTCTTTGCACACACTGAATCCTCTTACCACTCTGAAACTCAGTTTCCAAATCTGCAAAATTCAGACAATGATAGTTCCTTTCCCATAGAGTTGTTGAGAAGGATTAAATGAGATAATGCTTTTTTTAAAAATTGAAGTATATAGTTGATTTACGATATTGTGTTAGTTTCTGGTGTACAGCAAAGTGATTCAATTATATATATATATATATATATATATATATACACAATAATTCAGTTATATATATATAATAGATTACATATATATAAATATATTAATTATATTTATGATGTAATTAAGATGTTATGGAAAATGCCAAATGAACTTTTTTGGCCAACCCAATATAATATATATATATATGGTCTTTTTCATTCTCTTCCATTATGGTTTATTACAGGATATTGAATATGGTTCCCTGTGCTGTACAGTAGGACCTTGTTGTTTAATCTATTTTATTCATAGTAGTTTGTATCTGCTGATCTCAAACTCCTAATTTATCCCTCTCCCCCTTTCCCCTTTGGTAACCATAAGTTTGTTTTCTATGTCTGTGAGTCTGTTTCTGTTTTGTAAATAAGTTCATTTGTGTCATATTTTAGATTCCACATATGAGTGATGATATATGATATTTGTCTTTCTCTTTCTGACTTGCTTCACTTAGTGTGATAATCTCTAGGTCCATCCATGTTGCTGCAAATGGCATTATTTCATTATTTTTTATGGCTGAGTACTATTCCATTTTATATATATACCACATCTTCTTTATCCATTTATCTGTTGATGGACATTGAGGTTGTTTCCATGTCTTGGCTATTGTACATAGTGCTGCTATGAACATAGGGGTGCATGTATCTTTTCGAATTATAGTTTTGTCTGGGTATATGCCCAGGAGTGGGATTGCTGGATCATATGGCAACTCTGTTTTTAACTTTTTGAGGAACCTCTGTGATGTTTTCCATAGTGGCTGCACCAATTTACATTCCCACCAACAGTGTAGGAGGATTCCCTTTTCTCCACACTCTCTCCAGAATTTACTATTTGTAGACTTTTTAATGATGGCCATTCTGATTGGTGTGAGGTGACACCTCATTGTAGTTCTGATTTGCATTTCTCTAATAATTAGCGACATTGAGCATCTTTTCATGCGCCTGTTGGCCATCTGGATGTCTTCTTTGGAGAAATGTCTATTTAGGTCTCTGCCCTAAATGAGATAACGTTTATCAAAGGTTTAACACAAATGGTGACTAGAACATAGAACATAGTAACACTCGATAAGTGCAGTTATTATTATCTGAGACAGCAATGAATGTATTTGTCTTATAGACTCTTGGGAACTACACAACCAGGAAGGAGGACTCCTGGTTTATCCATGTTGGTCCAGGGGCATTTGGAGCAGTTTATATCAATATTCTAGAAGAGAAATGGATATTAAACAGAGAAGGTGGGATTCAGATTAAACATAAAGTAGAACTTTCAAGAAGTGGGATTAGTAAGCCCTGAGTAATAGAATCATTTTCTCTCCTTAAAAGTCTGTACGAAAAAATACAGAATCTTGTAATTTGAATAGTTTAGCATGATCCTGTTTAAGGGCACAAAGATAGATGAATTGGTCTCATTATCATATTTCCCATTATCTCAGTAATTATTTGAATCATTTACTGTTCACTGGACTTTTGGAAATGGGTACAGACTGTCAAGTACCCTGGTGTCCCTTGATGATGGTGGATAATGATTAGCCATATTATACTCAGAGAATTTATGGACAGAGAGAGTAAGGGGTTTACCTCAACACAGTCATGTTAGTGAGGTGGGATTTGAACTGCCTCAGGAGGAGGGGCAGCTATTTCTCTGAGCTGGTGGTACTGCCTTTTTGCATCATCAGAGAGAAGGACGTATAAGAATCTCTTTAGCTCCTGCTCTAGAGTACCTGGGTTTGCAAATCCTGGAATCCCTTCTCCCTGGTCTCCCTTTTTCTAATGAAAGAACAATGCCGTTCAGGTAAAGAAGTACTCTCTAGACTTGGCCAGCAAATTGATTTTAATTGGAATGCCAACTCCAACCACTTAGTGGTGGCTATCTAAAGAATGTGTTGAGAAGGATTCTGAGGTCTTGTCTCAGAGAGAGTGCTGACACCGGCGTAGCACAGAGGATAGGCAGTGATTGTGCCACATGCTTGTATTCATTAACCAGCATACTGAAAGGTCTCAGCATGGTGACTGATTGCACCTGGTAAAACAGAGAGCAATATCCTATGGGAATGAGAACAAGGTGGTTACGCATTGATAAAGTGATGGAGGAACTGGAGTTTGAGTCGCATTGGAGAAGCCAGACCTAAGGTCCATTTACACACATGGTATTTGATTTTTATAGAAGTTCATGTGACTGATGAGGAGACTGAGGCATAGACAAGTGAAGTCACTCTTCCAAGATCACACAATTAGGAAATAGCCTAGCTGAGATTTGAACACAGGCAGGCAGTCTGGCTTCGAGGCCCTGAATTTATCACCCAAGACTCCCAACTTAGAAGTCTAAACACTGTGTGCTTCTCAGTATGTACCTCCTTTGGTATCTGACAGTTTTCACAGTGTGCCACCCTGGGGTGCCTGGTATCCCAAGATCCCCTGTCCACCACGAAAAACCAGAAACTGTATTTTGTACAGACTTCCTTTGCTCTTATAGAATCACCTTGGGCAAGTCACTTGACCATCCTACACCTCAACTTCCTCACCTTTAAAATGCAATATCAACAGCTTCCCCTCCCACCTTACCTGGCTGCTGTTCAGGTTCAAAAGACACAATATTGTGCAAATGGAAACTTTATCAACATTCTAAGAACTTAGAACAGGAACATGCTGGGAAATGTTGATTGATCTGGTGGGGGTAGGATCCCATCTACCTCTCCCCGGCATGTGACTCAATTCAGACCACAATGTCATGACTAAGGATGGTGTCAAATATCCCGGGCTACGTAAAGAGCCAGTTCTCAATGGCATTTCAAATGACAGCAACTTCAGGGTGGGAAATAGTGCCTGAGAGTGATGGGAGAGTGGGGAATTTGGGGCAGGAGGGAGAGAAGGGAACACATCTGGGCCTAGCCTCCACTTTCCTTCACCTCCAAGCTCCCCAGCCCTTACCTCCACCTGCTGGCTGGGCAACCCACATCAAGAAGCCAGCAAATGCATCTCTAGCTGTTGACCAGAAGGGGTCACTGCAGAGCGAGCAGTACTCTCAGGCGCTCACACAAGCAGACACGCAAATATCCAAATACCCAAAAATCCAAATGTAGATACACTTCTGGAAGGATGCTCGGTGACTCCAGAGTCCTCTCTGCCTTCCTCCCCGCCTTTCTCTCCTCTTCCCCTCCTGTTGCCTTTCAGCGAGTTTTGGAAGTTCACATTGGTGCCCTGGTCCCTTTGGTCCCCATCGCTATCACCATCAGCAAGAAGTTTATTCCCACTGTGGCCAAGACCCAGTGCCAGGTGCTGGGAGGCCTTTAAGACTTGGCGAAGCCTCCTTCCAGGAATGCGAAGTCTGGGGAGTGGGAGTAGCAACTCTGCTGAGATTAAAGGACTCCAAGGGAGAGATGGGCTGAGGGGTCCCGTGTCTCTTTTCCTTAATGAAAACCCTGGGCGTGAAGGAGAGAAATTCTGCCCAGACCTTCTGCGTCTGGGTTTTATTGTGATTCTGAACTTCCACTTTCTGGGATTAGGGCTGGACTGGGAAGGGGTAGCAGATGGGGAGACAGACAGAAGAGTATCCCCCTATAATCTTCTGATGTCCCCCTCAAAACCCACCCCCCAAAGCTTTCCTGTCCAAAACGGACTCCTCTCCCGGGACAAGCTGTCTTAAGGAAAAGCGGCTGCAGCAGAGTTCCGCAGGAGTGGATGGGGTGGGGTGGGGTGTGGGCACTCTTTCCTTTGCATGGGTTTGGCAGCAGGACGTTGGGCTGGCTGGCAGTGAGGCACAAAAGAGATAGCCCTTAGAGCCGCGTGCACAGATGCAACGCTGCACCCCTCTGCGGGCGGGGCCGGCTCGGCAGATGGCGAGAGGCCGAATTGTTGACGGATGGTCCATCAAACGGCACTTTCTGGGTGGTGGGGATCTCGCAGCACCCAGGCGCAAAGAGGAATTCCGAAGACGTCCCCCGTCCCCTTGCTGCGGTAGACAGCCCCTCCCAGAAGTGGGGCGGTGGCGGAGGGGCGGGGCAGGTTGGCGGGGGCGGATAGATTAAGTTTTTTTTCTCCCTTGATAGAAGATCTTCTTCAAGACTCGTGAAGGGGTTGGGAAGGGAGGCGGCGGGCCCAGAGAGCACGCAGGAGAGGGTAGGGGGAAGGCCCGCGGCGGAGGGGGAGGCGAGGGGGCTGGGAAGCAGGATCTCACGCCCGGTTCAGTTCGGGGTGCCGCGAGTGCTTTTCTCAGGGGTCAGCGCTGCAACTCCGTAGCCGCGGGGCCCCGGTGACGGGCGCGCGCCCCGCCCTTTCTCCTCCCTCGACCTGCGGGCTTTTGTTATGCAGATGGCGGCTGGAGGCTGAGGAGGCGGAGGGAGTTGGTGGGGCGGAGGAGAGGCGGAGAGGGGGGAGGAAAGTGCGGCTCGCGCGACCAGCCTCCTTTTCCAACGTCACATTGTGAGAGAGACAAAACCCGGGCGCTCCGGGGCTCACACGCGCACGCACACACGGACGACCCCGTCGCCTCTTCTCTCCGGCGCCGCCGAGAAAGCCAGCCCAACGTTCCCTTCCTGGGGCGCGGAGGCTGTGCAAGCTCAGAGCGCAGCCCAGAGCCGACCCAGAAGGCGGAGAGAACCGGCGCACAAGCCTTCTTCCTCCCCTGCCGGCCCGGGCTGAGGCGCCCATCCCCCGCCCTGAACCCCTGTCTCTCCCACCCCACCCTTCTCGGTCTCACACGGACAGAGAGCGGGGCCGGGTGTGCCCCCGTTCGGAATCCTCGTTTCAGCACTTCGGACAGCGCCCGGGAGCCCCGGGCCCTTTTGGTTGGCCATGGCGAGCGTTCAACAAGGAGAGAAACAGCTTTTTGAGAAGTTCTGGCGAGGAACCTTTAAAGCCGTGGCCACCCCGCGTCCCGAGAGCATCATTGTCGCCAGTATCACGGCCCGCAAGCCGCTGCCAAGGTAATGACCTCCTGCTTAAGAGGGGAGACCCTGATGGTCCCCCTTTCTGGCCTGTGCCCCAGAGCCCTGCGGGGTGGAGGCAGGCAGCTGGGCCAGAGCCCCTGTCTTTTCCCGTCACTACTCTGCATCTCCCACTGGAACATGGGAGAACGAATTGCTTGTGTGAGGTGGCAGCTGGTGGGGAGGGACGGGGAGTCTTTAAGGGGAGCAACGCTCAGCCGGCTGACCTGGCAGCCGCTGTTTGAAAGGTCTTGCTGTCTTTGGGTGGGCGGTGGAGGTGGGAGATGACTGAGAAACTTTTCTTGATATCCCAGGGCTCCGAGGACAGGGGGTGAAGGAATGGTGGATTTGAGGCAGTTAGCGGTGTTGTACAAGAAGAGATGAGGATTGAACTAGCTCAAGCCTTGTTCAGAGACAGCAGCACATTTCCGTGCTCAGCTCAGAAACTAGTGAGCTCTGACTGTTTTGACAAAAGCCCATATGCTATTCCCTCAAATACACCCTAAACAGCGCCCTCCTCCACACCTTCCTGGCGGCGGCTGCTGAACTATCTGGTCTCCAGCACGCAGAACCAGGAGTCTGAGCTCAAGAGTCGGGGAGGAGCCTTCCAAGAGCGTGAAGATGGTCTCAGAAGAGTTTTATTTGGTTTTTCAAAAAGAATCTGATTGCTTTGAACTCAGGCATAAGAACCGATCCTTGGGTGGTGGTGTAGAAATAGTGTGATGGAGGGGGGATGAGGGAAGAAATGAAAGAAAGGCAGAAAGAGGGAGAAGAAGATGTGGGGTGAAACTGAGAGGAGGTTGGGGGGAACAGAAGCATTCCAATACAGAGAAGACCCAATTGTTTTCGTAAATCATTCAATTTAGAGGAGTTCGAGAACGAAAGGAAGAAGCCTGTGCCCTCCGTCAGGGAAAATCAAGGCTGAATGAAAACTCTTCTTTTGCTGGTGTTGGATGAGTAGTTGGGTGGGAGAAAAAGAAAGAAGTGGACCAGGGGAGACCACTTGGAGGATTTATTAATCCTGGCAGGCTGCATTAGGGAGTAGGTTGAAAACATGTCTGGGGAAGTGCTTCGGACAGAATGCCTGTTGTGGCACAGCTGCATCTGAACTTTCCAGTGGGTGTGGGGTGGAGGACCGATGGGGGAGTTATATTTTAAGAATCAAACTCAGACTGGAGAACTTTTCATAGTCTGATAGAGACCTGGCTCATACAGGTCTTTAAGAAAAACGGGTACCCCATGTTGGGAATGGGTGAACTAGAAACATGACGGGCCAGCAGGATGTAGCAGGCGGCAAGTGGCAGCAGCAGCAGCCAGTATTTGTGGCTGGGATGAGGGGACATCCTGTGACACAGGCTGGAGAAGGGGAACAGTAACACCAAATGCCACCAAAAGCTGGTGTTGCTCTGCTTGGAAGGAGGTTCTTTGTAGAGAGCTTTGACATCAGTGGTTTTATCTTCCTGGGTTTCTGCCATCCATTCCACCTTCGAGTGCACCTCCTGTTGGCAAATCAGGTGCTGCGTTGGCCAAAGAATATGCCCTTGTAGAAGGGACTAGAGGAAATTTCATTGGAAACTAGAAGTGTGGCAGTTGGTCCCGAGTATTCCATGTATCTCAGGGGTGCAGGGAGAGGAGAGCAGATTCCTGGTGGTATTTTAATTCAGATAAGCATACCTGATGGCCACCTTGCTTGGTAACTTCACCTTTTGCCTGTCAGTCTGTTCCTGTCATGCCTTTTTTCCTGGTCATCCTCTCAGTCATATGAATTGCTCACAAGGTCTCCCACCCGCATGCTTCTGCAGCTTTGTGCAAATCCTGATTTAATCCATACGAGACTCATAATAGCCAACCCTCCCCACCCAGGCATCATTTCACTCCTGGTGTCTTTTAATGTCCTGAGTCTCCTTCCCCCTGAAAACCGCTCCCGAGGTGAAAGTCTGAGCATTTAGTCCCTAATTTATGTCGTGCTGAAAGGATCCTCTTTAATACTTCTGTAACAGGCGTGGCCTCTCTGTAGGAGAGATTCCACTTTGTGTTTAAGTCTTCAGGAGGGGGGGCTGGGTTGGAGTTGTCTTTTAACAGACTGTCTGTAAAGCCTGAAACATCCACATTTGCACCCACGCCAGCCACATCCAGCGATGGTCAATTTCTACCTCCTTTTTAAGGTTCTATGCTTACTTAAGGGTGAAAGTACCATGTTTCTAAAGCAGAGTTCTTAGGAAGGAAAGGGACAGAGGCATGAGCTTAGCATGAGCAGCTTCCTCTACAGGCAGTCTGGGCACTTGGTCTCATCAGAAATGTTGTCTAGTTCCATGAATGAGGCCCAGCTCACAGTCAGCGGATCTGCCCAAGTAGCTGTCTACAGGGAGATGGGGGAGGGGGAGGAGGAACCACCAGCCAGTCCTGTTGGTTGCACACTTAATACTTGTTTGTGGATGAGGGCTACTACCCCCTGAGTGAACTTCCCCAGGATATTTTAAGTCTGTTTCTGAAGATAATTTAGTACCAGGATAGAAGCTTACATTCAATTCGTTGATTTCATAGCAATATGCATACATCATACAACCTTACTCCAAGCAAAGCATCCCCTGCTCCCTCCCTCTCCGCCTCTGTGAGGCATACTTGATGAGGCAATATCTTTATAATGTATCAAGTTGCGAGCAGATGTCTGACTCAAATGTCCGAACGGTGTAGCAGTGTGGGAGGCGGTGCTTAAGGGCTCAGAGCTGAGCTTCGCCCGAACCCCAGTACCTGGTTGTGCCGTTTAGCGGAGTGCCTTAGGCAAGTGGCTCTACCTTGCTGAGCCTGTTTTGTCAGCTTGAAAATAGAAACAATAATCGTAGCTGTCTCAGGCAGTGAGTTAGGAGGACTGAGTCAGGTGAAGCACTTCCCACAGTGCGAGGGACAGAGTGATTGTTTAATACACACTGCCTCTAAAACAAACAGCTCAGAGCTATAATGGCCAAAGGAAATCTACAGTTCCTTCCAGTATTGTGTTTTTCCTGCCTACCCATTTCTCACCTTGATAATGCTAACCATAAAAATTGTGAGATTTCAGCTCCTGACAGGCGACAGGAGGTGGGGTGGGTGGGATGAGAGCAGTCCCATATTTTCCTCCCTAAGGTCCTATATTTCCTTCCCTGAGGGGAGGTTAGCTGCTTTGTGATCTGATGCTTTCAGTTAGGGGGTGGAGGGCTGGTGAAGAATTGTCTGGATTCAGAGTGGATTGGTACGACATCCCTATGGAAGATTATTCTGTTTTGTGTAGGGATGACCAAGCACTGCCAGTCTAGCCAAGGCTCAAACTCCTTGAAAACCATAGTTTTAATCCCTAGCCCATCAACTCTAGAGTGACAATGTAATTTGTAGTTCATATCAAGAGTGAAAAGCGTTGCCTGTGGGTGTTTATTCCAGGATGGAAGCTCTAATGGGAAGTATCCCAGGCAAACCTCACCCTGTACCAGCTGGAAGAGAGCCAGCATGAATCAATAAGATACTTGGAGTGTACGAGACCCCCCCCTCTTTTGTTCCTGCCAAAGAAGTGTAGTCGTTTTGCTGGCATTAAGTCATTCTCTTTTTTAATTGCTTAGTCCAGAAAAGTTTTCACCTGAGAAGTTTAGGCTGAAAGTGGGAAACCTAGTGTCGGAGGCCAACTCAAACTGTAATATTCAGATCAACAAAGAGTAGTTGAGGACTTAATGAACACGTAACTATCATTTGTAATTAGTATCTCAGTTGTTTGTAGATACAGGAGTGTTTGTAAAGGGCTAGAGAGGTGGCCCCCTTAAGGAGACTATGCATTCCCTTTACCATTCTTTGGGCAAGCTATTAATTTTCTTCGAAAATCCTTTCCATGCAGAATAGTCCAGAAGCAGACTTCAGCCCAGTCCCTGTCTAAAGGATCATAAATTCCAAACTATTGGAGATTTTACTGCATAAAGGGAAAGACGGCCAAATTGTAAGGCAGGGAAAATGCCTTTGAACCACTTAATTCAAGTCTCCCCTTCGTGCCAAGAGATCAGTTAGCACATTTGTGCTGACTCTGTCTCTAGGAGCAGAGTCTCTAACAGCAGAGCTGTTGGGAGGCGATGTCCTGTGGTTAAGAGCCAGGAGACGAGGGTCAGGGAAAATGCTTGCCCTGGCGATGAATGAACATTTTCTGTGGAAAGGGACTGTTACTGTTTGGGTCAAACCTTTCTACTTCTGAAAGGTGAAATTGGTTGAATGGTGTACAGGGTCAATGAGGGGATCGTTTCTGACACTGCCATGTTCACCTGGCAACTGTGCTGTCTTAGAGACCCGAGCTGCGGTAGATGTTCAATGAAAGTTGGATGCATTAATTGAATGAGTACACATGGTCCAGATCCAGTATGAGATTAGCCCTCTCCCAGCCCCACCCCGGTCCTGACAATCTGAGGATGCTGGTCAGTGCAACCCAGGAGGCTGGGAGACATACACACACTGCAAATAGATTTGACTCTCACTAGTGTCAGGATGAAGCTCTCTAGATATAGATGTCTGTGTGGCTGGGTGAGTGAACATGTCGGCTTGTCCGGGGGCAGGAGGTCGAACTTAATGTCACTTGGAAGTGCTTTCCAGGCCCGTGTCAGTCTCCGTTAACTCCACCCCGACTCCAGGCCACCAAAATGGGGCCACGTCCCTAAAAGCCTACCTCCTCTAAATGAGGATGGAAGCCTGGGTCAGGTGCCTTCTGCTCCACGGCGCCTCAGTCATCCCACAGGGGCACAGTACATTTTTTAAAATATCGTTTCTTTCAGAGTGGCTGGACTTACCTTCCTGCAAAGTGGAAGAGTTCGCAGGGGCTTAACAAAACCGGAGTTCTGTAATTGCTTGTTAGTAAGACTTTCTCTGAGGTGCGAGAGAATATTTCTGGGGTGGAAGAGGTAGAATGGTGAAGAGCTTGGGCTCTGAAGTCAGATGGACCCAGGCTGACATTCTGCTGGTCTACTTCCCAGCTCTGGAATCTGTTAGTCACTTCA